GTAGTGGTGTGTGTGTGTGTGTGTGTGTGTGTGTGTGTGTGTGTGTGTGTGTGTGTGTGTGTGTGTGTGTGTGTGTGTGTGGTCTTCAAAGATAGAACTGCACTAAGTATCAAGAATACAAATATCTCACTCTTCAAAGAATTGTAAAATCAATTCAAGAGAAAAGGAAGACTTTTTGGATCTGCAATAGAATGTACAGACTAATTTTCTGAAAACTGCAAAGAGAATACTAGACAATTAGTTAGATGTGTGCTTAATTTGAGGCCGAGCACGTTATTTTTAAATAAACAAGGAAGAAAAGTTTTAATAAAAAAACTATTTAAAGTTACTTTGCTTCATTGACTTCCCAGTCTTTCATTGTCCTTTTTAATTCAATAGGAAATACACATACTGGGCCAGGCTCACTGGTTTGTTCTGGCTGCTTTCCCCTGCTCCAGCAATGCAAAGCAGCCATAAGCCTCACATAACTGGTCAGTTAAGCTCAGTTTACAGCTGCTTCACCTTACTAAATCAGTGCAAAGCAGCTGGAGTGTGACAGCGAGTTTTGTATCTGTAATCTTCTATATTTAAAAAAAATGATTTGTTCATAGCTCTAAAAGAACACACAAGAATTAAAGCATCTTTTTTGCTATCGGTATAGCATGTCAAAGAGTCTAGTCACATTTCTAAGACCTTTGGTATGAACGAATGTTTGTGGTATAAGCCATTTCAGCACCGGGGCTGATGTAGGCTTCTTTACACACTGCCAACCCAGAATCTACCAATTTGACATAAATGGGCAAAATACTCTATGTCAGAGACGTGCATGAATCTCCCTTTAACTCCCCATGTGTATCCGAGATAAAAAATTGGTTCTATAGTTGTGCTTTGACCTGGGCAAGTCAGGATGGACCTGAGAACTTTGTAAATAGTGAGGAGTCATGTGCATGTAACCTAGGGTGGAATGTGGCTCACATGTGTTTCTAACTTGTTCATTGTGTGTTCTTTTTTGGGAAAAGGCTGCTCTATGGAATTCCCAAGGTACTTATTTTAGCATCTATAGGCCTGTTTACAGAAACACAGAGTAATATAAACAAACAGAGCAGAGACCGGCACAAACACTGATGCAAATGGTAATAACTGTTTACATGTTTATAGATATGGAATTTGTCCAGTCTCTTGAAAAGGCTAGAACCACAGATCTATGTCAACAGTTCAAACATTCTGTCTAGCATTTAACAAACTTCCAGCACAGATAAAAGAAAACACTGAATTATTAAAAGGGCATCTTCATCTCACTTTCTCATGTCCAACTAGTTGACTTTTTCTGCCTCAGAAACCTTAAACATGCTTATGTACAATCTTTCTTCATCTGCATCATAAAGTGTTGTGCATTTTTATGGTACTGAGCAATAAATAATAATATACATGAGGATCTCCATGGCACTTTCAACTTTTTTACTTCCCTCATCTGCATTGGACTAAACTCTTTTCTAACTGAGGAGAGTTGGATGCAAACTCTCTCTGGAGTATACAAAACCATCCCTGAGGTAAGCAGAGGTGTCACTTATAAATGACAGCAGCTTCAAACAACCACGAAGTTGTACTGTACATAATGTAAACCAACTGCTATTCTGGCAACAGGTGAAAAATGGGATACCAGACAAGGATGCTGTTGGGAAAACACACAGATCTCATAGGACACATTTTTCTTAACATCAGTTACAGATGAAGATACTACTTATTACTTGTGATGCTGCATTATTTTATATTTTCTTATCACAAAGACTGGCAAACATAAAAAACTTTACACTTTTTATTTTTGTAAAAATGTATATAATATGACAGATTAACAAAGAATTAATACCAGCATTTGTATCATAAATGTAAAAATGATGCACAACTGAAGTGTCACACATTGGAAAATACTGGGGATGAAGCAGTGGGGGAGGGGAATGCCATGAGTACAGATAGATTCCGTTCTCCCCCTATTTTCTGACTATGAAAATTTTTGTTTCAAGTTTTCACTGAAATTTATTTTTCATCACAATTTTCTGATCAACGCTATCCATGAGAGAGATGGCACATTCCTTCATAATGATCCATCTGATATTTGCATGTCTGAAACAGCAATGTAATTCTAATTTAAGAATGACACTTCTATATACACTTTCTGGCAAAATTAGAGAGCAATAGTTTTGCATATTAAATGGAATGCATCAGTGACAAAAAACTGAATAAATTTTACATTATATAGATCTCTCTATCACACTGTATATATTTTACTATAATTTATAATACTTCAAAATAATGTTAACATATGGCATTGCTTTTACCTGTTTTATAGAATTTGCTCTCAATTCCCATCACCCACATTCCTTCTCTTTTTGTTTGCGCTCTCCTCAATCATCATAATTTGTAAAATTGTGATATTACAATCCTGCACAGGATTCTAAATGTTCAATGTCTTGTGATAGTCAGTGAATGTTGTTCTTTTTTGTCTACACAGTGCTCTCTCTCTGTAGTGTTTCATTACCTTTACATATTTTTTATTATAAAATTGGTATGGGGGGAAATGATCATTTGCAGTATAGGCACATGGACACAAAGTATTGGTAATACTTATTTGCTGTGAAAATGACTGAAGTCTGTAGGCCTGAGTCAAAGCCCATTGAAATCTATGGGAATCTTTCAATGGGATTTGGCTCAAACTCTATAATAGTATTTGTCTCCTACATGTGTAGGACAGTGAAATACTTACAGAGGAGTGATTGATTGGATGGATCAGAGATAATAGGGGGTGGCTGTAAGAAAAGCTGGGTTGAGGTGCTAATGGGTGCTGCATACAGGAGTACTAATCTCTCTCCCTGTGTTCTGGTTGGAGAGGTGGCACTATTTAAGGATGGTGTGGAGCCAACTGATTGTTATGTGCGTCAGCTTCTTTGGTGCCCAGGCAGCCTGTACTATCCTTAAATGGTACCTGCAGCCTGCTTTTCTCCTCATGGCATGGGTTGGGAGGAGCGATGAGAGCAGCAGTAGGAGGAGGGAGTGATTTTTCACATTCCATGTCTCTCAGCATAATATGAAGCAGCCTGACATTTGTTTTAAATGTGAGAATTTTGACTGAAATCCCTTGCCAGACTCTAGTAATCCACCTTTAATGATGACCCACAGCTGAGAACTGGTGATGTGGTAAATTGGTGAATTCTCAGTAGGGCTTTCCTCTGCATTAGTATGGGTTATTTTCCTTTCATGGGCTATGGTTCAAACAAACCATGGTGTACAGTACGCTACAAATCACTTACAGAATATGGGCCATGCAGCAGCTTTAGCTTTGTAATAATGGAAGGAATCTGCTTTTATGAAACTATTTTAAGACACAACATCCTATAGCCAGTTGATTTCACTCCATTCCATCCCTTAACCCCTCCCCCCCCAACCTACGAAAAGCAAGCCCATATAAAAGCAGCCTCTCTGGATGGCAAAGAATACAGTAGATAATGAATCATGCACTGTATTATAGTGACATCTGCTATTGCCAGTGTAGTTAGGGATCTGTAAGACTGTTAAAAAACCCCATACTGATGGGCGAACTTGGCTGAAAAAATTTGCTTTGCCCTGAACCGTAATGTAAGGCCAGATTGTTGATTTTAAAGCCACAGCTGCTCAAGGGGTATGCAGAGGAGCACTGCAGTCTCTGCAGGCAGAGAGGCAGAATGTTCCCAGGGATGCTGGGGACTGCACACAAGGTGCTGTGTGTTGTACTCCCATAATAATAATCACCAAGCTAAGTTATTCCCTTCTCTGGTCTGCCCAGTG